TCTATTTTTTCCTCTGCAAAACAGGACTAATAATAAGTAAGTACCCCATCTCTTGCTCCTAGATGTCTACCAAAAAGGACAGGCTCCTCCACAACCCACTTCTCCCATACTTGTCTCAGAATAAACACACACGCCCCTTCCGTCTGTCCGTTGTTCCTGCTGATACAGTGTGGAGACAGCCTAGGAGCTGAGAATGAGCATCAAAATAAGAAACAAGGGGAAGTGGCGAGGTTCTGGAATCTCTCCAGTTCTTCCACTTCTCAGTCTAAATTGCCACATAAAGATAGGGGAAGTACTCCTTTGTCTTCTGCTCTCCCCGTTTCTTCTAAGTACACAGGCCCAAAGTGCTCCTTAGTGGCACCATCAGAGGATCTCCCACTTGTTCTTTGTCCCCCAAACTCCACCCAGGCTCCACATCTCAGAATGTCCGTGCTAAGTCCATCGTGTCACTCTGTGTCCTCTTTGAGGTCCTGTGGGATAAAAGTCTCCCAGGGCTAAGCTCAAAGAAGCATTGTGCCTTTACCATGTGCTTTGCTTTTTTACCTTGTGTCTAGTGTCTCATCAGCAGTGATTGAGCAGTCCGTCCTCTTTGGTGTGCCCACTAGGGAGCTCAGAGTGGTCAGCTCATCTCGAGTGACCCTGCAGGGACTTAGGGCTTATACCTTGCTTCCCACCCCTCAGCTTTCATCTTCCTGCCAACAAATTTTTTTCTTTACCCTAGTTTTTTAACTTGATCAATCTTGTTATAATTTATGTATTTTTGTCCCCTGCATCAAATCTCTTTTGTGGAATGAGGCAGGGTATAAATTAATAATAATCTAGTCCTTTTTCACACCAAAGGCCCCATTTATGAAGACTCCCTTCAAGGGCTTTGCATTTGGAAAGACTTACGTCTCCTGAACAATCAGCATGTATTATGTGTATGTCGTCCTACCTTTTATTAGACGTAACTGCCATTTGGAACTTCCAGTTGTCATGATCTGTGAGATAAACAACGAAACCACGCTGAGCTGATCATTTTTCAGCTAAAAGCAAAGAAACATGCCCTTTCTTTTGCCCTGGGCAGCCTTGTCGTGGGTCAATGTATGATTTCAATGATGTTTTCAAGATCTTGGACTTAGCTCAAAGGCGTTCAGGAGACTGAGGCTCAGGGGAGTGAGGTGGCATGTCCAGGTTCCGGGCAGGTTAGTTACAAACCAGACCCTGGTGGCCAACCCCTATCCTATCCACCATGTCACCCTGCCTGTGTCCCCCACCCCCATTTTCAGGTACCCCATTGGATGGATGTTGTTGTTTGGGGACACCCAGAATTCCTGTGTTTGGGGTAGCAGAGAGAGCAAGACTGATACAGGACAAAGGCTGGCTGTGGCCTCAGCACTTGGATCCCCTCTGTCCCCTAAACCTCAGCATGCAATGAATGGGACTAGAAGGGCGGAGTCAGCTCCTGGGAAGATGGTCACCCTGGGAAGGCTTGAAGCATGTGGTTCCCAGGCTGGACTGTCAGTGCACAGTGGCCTTAGCTTGGGTTGGGGAGGAAAGAAGAGGGACAACAGCTAGCAGAAGCCCAGAATCCAGGAGAATCCAGCCGAGCAGGAAGGTGCTCCTGGCGGGTGCCGTAAGCTGTTGAGGACATTCTGCTACCGTAGGAGAAAGAGCGAGGGCTCCCTCAGGGCCTGGGAGCTGAGATTCTCTCAGGGGTCCAGGAGCCTTCCTCCCCACACTTCCCACAGGAGATCCCGCTGCGCTCCAACGTGTATGAGGTCTACGCCACGGACAAGGATGAGGGCCTCAACGGGGCCGTGCGCTACAGCTTCCTGAAGACGGCGGGCAACCGGGACTGGGAGTTCTTCACCATCGACCCAATCAGCGGCCTCATCCAGACTGCGCAGCGCCTGGACCGCGAGACGCAGGCGGTGTACAGCGTAAGGGCGGGGCCCGGTGCGAGGGGCGGGGCCTGGGGCGGAGCTTTCTTCTGGGCGCTAGTCCTGCTCCTCGCCTCCTGGAAAGTCTCTAGGGGACCTGGCCACCGGGAAGTCCCCAAGCCAACCCCCTCTCCCAGTCTTTTCCTCTGACTGCACTCTTCCGCTCCTAGCTCATCTTGGTGGCCAGCGACCTGGGCCAGCCGGTGCCATACGAGACTATGCAGCCGCTGCAGGTGGCCCTGGAGGACATTGATGACAACGAACCCCTCTTCGTGAGGCCTCCAGTGAGCTCGCCTACCTCCTGCGCTGGTCACACCTACACAGGGACTCACCTGCCTGCAAGCACACACGCGCACACACTTTCCTATATACACTGTGCCAGAATACACATTTGGCTAGACACGGAAACATCTGTCTGCATGCACTTCATGCAAGAACAACTATTTATTGAGCAGCTGTGTTACACTATATTGAGCTATATTGAGCGATGGAAAAAAAAAAAAAAAAAAAGGCAGACCAAAATGCCTGACTTATGGAGCTGATAGCCTTGTCTTTGCCTACACACACACACACAC